TGAAGTTTCATAGCACCTTTGGGTTTAAACCCAAGATCTCTCAACAAGTTTTTCAACCACAACAACTCACATACACCATGAGACATACCACGAAACTCAACTTCTGTACTTGACCTAGCCACCACTTTTTGTTTCTTGCTTCTCCAAGTAACTAAATTTCCACCCACAAACATAAAGTATCCAGATGTAGATCGTCGATCAGTGATAGAACTTGCCCAATCTGCATATGTTTACCCTTCGACATTCAAATGACCATTCTTGGAGAAAACCAGGCCTCTGCCAGGAGTCATCTTCAAGTACCTCAAAATACGGGTTACTGCATCCATATGAGCTTCATTAGGTGAGTGCATAAACTGACTTACCACACTAACTACATAAGCAATGTTAGGGCAGGTGTGAGACAAATAAATTAATCTCCCCACAAGCCTCTGATACCGTTCCTTATGAGTAGGAACTTGATCTAGAAATAAGCCCAAATGATGATTCTGCTCAATCGAAGTATCAACAGGTTTGCAATCTAACAAATCTGATACCTGTTTCAGCTAACAAATCAAGAACATACTTCTGTTGAGACAGACAAATACCATGCATGGATCGTGCAACTTCGATTCCAAGAAAATACTTCAATTCACCCAATTCTTTCATCTCCAACTCAGTAGCTAGGTACTTTTGAAGGCGTTGTATCTCCTTTTGATCATCATCAGTCACTATCATGTCATCAACATAAATAACCAATGCAGTTAGCTTACCATTTGTCGCTTTAGAAACAAAGTATGATCTGAATGACTCTGGATATACCCAAACTTCTTCATTGAACTTGTAAACCTCCCAAACCACGCTCTAGGAGATTGTTTCAAACCATACAAGGCCCTTCTTAACCTACATACAACACCTTTTTCCAGGAGATATTTCAATACCAGGTGGGAGATCCATATACACCTTCTCCTTAAGATCACCATGAAGGAAAGCATTATTAACATCAAACTGCAACATAGGTCAATCCTAGTTTGCTGCTAAGAACAGAAGAACACGCACAGTATTAAGTTTGGCAACAGGAGCAAAGGTCTCCTAATAGTCCATCCTATAGGTTTGAGTATAACCTTTAGCAACTAATCTGGCTTTATACTGGTCAATAGAACCATCTGCTTTGTGCTTAATAGTAAACACCCATCTACATCCAATGGTTTTCTTGCCGTTTGGTAAAGGAACCAAATTCCAAGTAGAGCTCTTTTCCAAAGCTTCCATCTCAACTTTTATGGCATTAACCCACTTAGGGTCAGACGAAGCATCTTGCAATTTTGTTGGAATTAATACACTAGATAGCTAACATATGTAAGATGCATATGGTTTGGACCAAGATCTAAAATATCGCTGATATCGAAAATATCGGTAGTCCAAAAACATGGAAATTTCTATGGAAATATCGAAATATTATCGATATCGATAAAAATTGAATAAAAACCACGGAAATTGTAAGAAAAACTTGAAAAAAATTTTATTGAAACTTTGCAGGATGTTTATTTAGTCAATTATATCACAAAAAATTGGAAGGAAATGCATTGCATGATGGATTTAACTGATTTAAGTTGATTATATAGCGAGTTGGTAAACATTGTGAGTGTAGAAAATATGTAGTAATTAATTAAAGAAGTTTAAACACACCATAATCATTTATATATAATGAATTAGTACAATATTTTATACTTTATACATTGTATGGTAAGATACATGAGTGACTTAGTACCACATAGGGTTCCTATGAGGTTCAAAATTTTCACTATCTTCATCATCTCTATGTGTAGAGTAAGTGTACTGTGAAGAGTATAAATCCCCAAAATAGTTTTGCATGTAATTGTTAACATGTCACCCGTATGAAACCAACCACCACTACTTTTTGTCTTGTCAAAAGTTGTCAAAAGTTGGCCCGTTTGGAGGATTATATTATTTATATTATATATATTATATATTATATTATGTAACTTATCATAACACACACACACACCACCACACACACACAATGACACACACACTAACACACACACACACACACACTAACACACACACTAACAATGACACACACACTGAATTATTATGTTTATTTTATCGATATTACCGATATTATCCCAATATTACCGATATTACAGATATTATCCCGATATATTGACGAAAAATAAGGTGGATACATGTGAAAATATCCCCCTCTCAAAAAACGATATTATTGGCGAAATATCGCCGATAATATCGATATTTAAGACCTTGGTTTGGACAAACGATGAGTAGACACATAATTGTTGATAGGATATTTGGCTTTGGCATGCATATCAGGCTCATATTGTACTTTAGGTTTTCCACGATTAGCTTGTGAAGGCAACTGATAAGTAGAAGAATCGTCAGAATTTACCTCATGTATGCCACCATCTTGTACTAAATTGTTAGAAGAATCATCACTGGACGAACCATCATCAGGCAACTCGTTAGACATATCAGCAGCAGGCAACCGATCATCAGAAGGTAATTCGTCAAACATACTAATAGGCAATTCGCTGGGCACATATGATCTGTCGTCAGTAGAAATAGTTCTAGGAATGACAGGTGACCGATCACTATCTGTAGCCGACTGATCAGTATCACGCAACATAATAGGTTTTGTTTCCAACTCTGCCTGTAACACATCATCCATACCATCTCTTCGAATCTGCACTTCACTCCCATTCTCCCCCTGAAGTGGAGAGTCGGAAGAGGGTTTCACAAAATACAAAACTTCCTCATGGAAGGTGACATCCATGGTAATATAAGTTTTTTGAGTCGGAGGATGATAACACTTATAGCCTTTTTGATTGTTAGCATACCCAATAAAGACACACCGGAGAACACATGGATCAAGTTTACTCCGCTAATGAGAGTAGATATGCATATACGCAATACACCCAAACACTTTCGGAGGAAGCTTTGATACAGAAACAAGAGAAACATGTTTTTGTAGCATATCAAACGGTGTCTGAAAATCAAGAACCCTACTTGGAACACGATTACACAGCAGCCAAAACAACATGACCCCACAAATGATTAGGAACACATTTATCCAACATCAAAGAGCGAGCAATCTCCATTATTTGACGATTCTTTCGTTCGGACACACCATTTTGTTGGGGTGTAAACGGAGTAGTCGTCTGGTGAATAATACCATGATCACAAAAAAAAAATGCCAAAGTGTGATTCACATATTCTCCTCTGTTATCAAACCTGAGGACCTTAACTTTGGTCTGAAATTGAGTAAACACTATTGTACAAAATTCTTGAAGAAGTAATGGAACATCACTTTTATTCTTCATCAAGAACACCCAAGTTAACCGAGTACAATCATCAATAAAAGTAACAAACCAACGGAATCCATTAAAAGTAACTTTCACCGGACCCCACACATCAGAATGTATCAAATCAAATGGCAAAGTAGCTTTAGAATCACTTACGGGAAATAAAGCACGATGACTCTTAGCCATAACACATGTTTCACACTTGAACTCTAAATCACTACAAGTGCGAAACAAAGAAGGAAATAGATGCTTCATATAACTGAATGATGGATGTCTCAATCGTCGATGCCACAACCAAATTTGATGTCTGTCATCCACTTTAGCACTTAAAACTTGATGATTATTTGAACCGGAAACAACAGTATCCTCCATAGTCAAGATGTACAAACCCCTTATTCTTTTACCATGACCAATTATCTTCTCAGTTTGAATGTCTTGAAAATAACAATACGCAGAGTAGAAGTGAGCAGATATAAGGTATCAAGAAGTTTTCCTACCGACAAAATATTGCACTTAACATCAAGAACAAGTAAAGTACGGATCAGTGATAAGGTTGGAGTCAGAGAAATAGTGTCTTCACCCTTCACAGGGGAAAGTGCTCCATTTGCACTAGTAATATACGATTCACGAACATAGTCACATAACTCATCAAATACTCTAGGGTCACTAGTCACATGATCAGTGACCCCAATATCAATTATCCATTTATTTGTTCCACCAAGATGCATAACAACCCTATGATTATATTGAGCCATTGAACAAAATCACGAATAATAAAGGCACAAAAGATACGCAACATAATGAAAACAATTTACCAGAACACTATAGCAATCAATATTCACGGTACTGTAGCAGAGCACTATGCACGACGATGTAGCAATCACTGTTCACGGCAATGTAGATGACCACTCACTGTAGCAAAGTGTTGTACTGTAGCGCGACACTATTCACTTTTTTTTTCTTTTTTCTCACAGAGAAAATCACGAAAAATGTGGACACAAAATTAAAGCACACAGGTCACCAAGAGCGAACTGCTCTGATGCCATATTAAACTAAACATGGTAAATACCAAAATATATATGACAATATTTGAGAATTTCTTATATATTCATTAATCTCCAAAGTGGAGTATATATAGGAGTTACAATTGGTATTACATATGTACTTCACCAATGTAGAACAATAAACTACTATTTACACTTTAACTAATATATAACTCACAACAATAAGCACCCTGAATGTATGGCAATTGTATGAATTTGTGCATTTTGGTCTAATTGATACTTGATAACTCAATGCATCGACAACACGGTGAGCTCTAGACTCATATTGGCTAAAAAAAATAAAATTCATCAATTGGATGACTAGACATTCAAAAAATTAAAATTATAAATTGATATAATTTTAAAATTTTAGGAAACGATATGAAAAAGCTAAACTTCATAATTCGCAAATGGCCATTTATCACAGTGATAGAAAGATATTGAGATCTTGTATAATGACGTGTGTTTAAATCTTGTTAGTGATTAATCTAACAAAATCTATTGTCTGACAAAGAAAAAAAAACAGGATATTTTTGGGAGCTTGATCCTGCCCCGCACTTTCTTTCCCTCTCGTTCTCACTTATCTTTGACGACGACCGACCGACCGACCGAGACGACGAGTCAATAAATCTGTCAAATTCGGTCAAACCCCACAACTCTCACTTTTACTCTCTCTCTCTCTCTCTTTCTCTCTCTCTCTCCCGTGCTTTTCACTCATTCAGTTGACACTTGTCTCACTCTGTGACTAGGGTTTCTCTCTTTCGAAAACCCAGTCAGTCCACTCCTCGACCCAAGTTTTTGTACAATCGAAGCCGAATCTCGCACTGGCATTGCGCAATTCGCAAGAATTCCGACTGCAACGACGGCGTTTCAGCTCGATTCCCTCTCTGTTTCTGCTCAAAAGATGTATTGAATCCTCGTCGATCTGGTTTCTCTGTAAAAAATTTCCATTTTTTCTTTATTTTCAGCTGAACTTATGGTCTCTGCAGATAGATCATTTCTAAATTAGAATTTTTGTTTACGTATAGACTCGAATTTTGTATGTAATGCAGACATTTGATCTTGATTTGGTGAATGAGAGCGATGCGCTGAGCAATGGCGCTTAAGGCTCCGGCTACGAAAGCTGCTGAAATTGCAGTTGCATCGATTGGGCATGGATACGATATATCCATTGATTTACGGCTCAAGTACTGTAAAGGGGAGTCTCACACTGCTCGATTGATTGAAATCGATGACGACGATGGAGGTCGCGAGGTTGTTCTTCCGGGTGGGATTACCATCCCAAATGTTCCCAAATCGATTAAATGCGATAAAGGAGAGCGCACACGATTCAGGTCCGATGTTATCCCTTTCCAACAGGTATCTTCAGTTTTTCTTAATTGCAATTCTCGCATGTTTTTCTTATTGATTGAGTTTTTGGTATGCATGTCCTTTCTTGAAGTTTTATAATCTAAACTCTAATGTTCAAATGCGAGGCTATCACGGCTTGGCTTGTTTTAAAACATTCGTGGAGTTGGATGCAATCTAGAGTAGTAATGGAGGACATTTAAGAGTCACATTGGGATCGGAAGACATCAAGCGAAATATGTTATTCGTATAAAATGTTTTAGGATTACCTGATCGTTATAGTAATATAAATAGTTCGAAAATGAACACTACAATGATATAGCTCAATGTGTGTTTACCACTCCTCCCACCCCCGAGAAAATAAAAGATGAAAACGAAAATGTCGTAGTGCAAAATCAAGGCTTCATATTGTTCGGTTATGGGGATTGGGTGGTGGTGAGGCCGGGTTTTCAGTAAAATATATGTTCTTTTGGTATAATCTTATTTTGTAACTGTGATTTTACTTTAAGCATTTGGAGTGGTAGTAGAGAGAAATTAAATTTTCTATCATTTTTTTCTCTCGCAGATGTCAGAGCAGTTCAACCAGGAAATATCTTTGACTGGAAAAATACCCTCGGGTCTCTTCAATTCTATGTTTGAATTCTCAGGTTGTTGGCAGAAAGATGCAGCCAACACTAAGACCCTTGCTTTTGATGGGGTGTCCATCACTCTCTATTCTGTTGCACTAGAAAAATCTCAGATGGTACTGCACGAGAATGTTAAAAAAGCAGTCCCATCATTGTGGGACCCTTCTGCATTAGCAAGGTGAGAGGTTTTTGGAGTTTTTAGTCAAATTATAACATTAGCGTTGATCTACATGCTAAGCTCGGTCTTTGAAGTTTCATATAAAGTCTATTAACTTCTGATAGGAAGCTTGTTTTCGTAATGTACTTCATATGCTAGTTGTTTGCCTATGCCATGCACCTATGTTTCTTGTATTGTGGAAATTTCAAAAAGGGGGAAAAAGAAGAAAAGAAATAAGTAAGAACCATGGTTCACAAAGCTTGTCCAAAATATTTATTTACCTTTTTAAATCTGTAGCAAGTGAGTTTTCTATATTTTTGTGAAATTTTCTTGATCTGTCCCTTGGATGCATTCCCCACCCCCCTCGCGGGCATTATTCCACCTTTTCAGGACACATTCTTCTCGTTCCGTCAACTAATCTTAGTCTTGAATCCCGTTGAAGAAGGGAATTGATTGTTGCATACTTCTTTCAAACGCTGTTTCCATAATTAATTGCCTTAAATTCTGTGGACCTTAAGTATGTTTCATGCTTATGTATCTGCAATACTTGGATGTCATGGTTCTCTAGCGAAATAACTAATTTTCATGTTGATGCTTTTATTGGTTTAAGCTGTATGGCATTAGTAAAATGCTGTAATAGATGGGATTGAGTCTTCTGCAAGGCATGTTATGATAAATATATGTATATGTATGTATCCCTTTATGCAAAGGGATCCCCACTTTTTCCAAAAAATGGGGACTAAGTGTGGGGCTCACTCCACATCGAACTTCAACGATCTAAACCGTCTAGTTTGTAAGTCTCGATTCATAGATCATCCTTGCAAAAATTTAATTCAATCCAAAATCATTTGCCTATTTAATTATCAAGATAAAATTTCATTGTTTCTTAAATAACAAAGTATTCGTTAATTTTTTTGAACCCAATTAGATGTCTTAAATATTTCCGATTTGGTTAATATTTTGCAAGGATGATCATGAGGTGGAACTTGAAAAATAGACGGTTCGGATCGTTAAAATTCAATATTGTGTGGACCCCACAACTAATCCCCATTTTTATAAAAAAATGGGGATCCCTTCCCTTAAAGGCTTCCTATATATATATATATATATATATATATATCCATGTCTACTGTATTAAAATTTTGAAAACTGGAACGTGTTCTCATGTTCATTCTAGGTTTATAGAGACATTTGGAACGCATATTGTTGTTGGTGTGAAGATGGGAGGGAAAGATGTTATATATGTGAAGCAGCAGCATTCTTCAACTCTTCAACCGGCTGATATACAGAAAAAACTAAAGGATATGGCAGATAAAAGGTTTTTAGACGCCAATGGTCAGTCTGGTATGCCTTCGGAACAAGGTTACAAGAATGGCAAGGTTCGTAACATGTCTATGGTATGTCATTTAATAGTTTTAGTTCTTAATTCTTAAAAATGACCTGTTTCTAAAAAAAATGGATTACAAGGTCTTTGAGTGTCAAAAGTTAACATCCTTTCCTCAGGGTAATTTTGAATCTTGCTATAGTTTCTAGTAAGTATACGGTGGCTGGATACCAAGGATGTATCCTTTCCTAGATTAGCTAAAATTCATGAGTTGATCATAATGAATGATATGAAAAGAAAAGCTTCAGATGAATCCATAATAGATTATGACGTGCAAACTTTTTTATTTTCTTAAAGTTTTCATTTGGTGTGAAGGATGATAATCATGGAAGTTTCATCGTTGTAAGGGAGTATGACCAACCAATGATTGAATGTTGTTATAGGGAACCATTAGTATGACCAGCATAGGTGGCGAACTAGTTTGGCAGGAATTTGTGAGATTGGACTTTGAATTGCTTATATAATTCTTTTATTCAACAAAGGATTGGCTTTATACATAGTCCATTCCTTGTAATTTAACCCTGGACAATTTCTTATTAGTACTGATAATACAAGAGTTAAGTTAAAAAGTTGTTCTTTTGAATTTATTCTAAGTCTGCTTTTTTTTTTTTTTTTTTTTTCTACTGTATTATAATTTCTACATGCATAATAAGTTACTTATCCTTTTTTCCCGTTGAATAAAAAGTTCCTTATCTAATCACTTGTTTTTCAGTTTGAAATCAGGGAGCAGCGGTTGCAGTTTGCAGATACTAGTCCATCAAGTACTTATTCACACAAGGAGGTGTGTATAATTACTAAACCTTGTTGATTGTCTTACTGAATTCGTTGGTTATCAACTTATCAGATATATAAATCAAAAAATAAATCGCTACTTTTTCAATTCTCTTTTTTGTTTCTAAGTTACTTTAATTGCAGGACATTGTAAGCATTTGCAAGAGGAGAGGTGGAAGTGATACGAGAAATCTATCACATAATGAATGGTTACAAACTGTTCAGTTGGAGCCTGATGTGATCACAATGTCATTTATACCAATTACCACTCTGTTGAATGGAGTCCCTGGGAGTGGATTCTTGAGCCATGCCATAAACCTTTATTTACGATGTAAGTAAAAGATTTTCCTGTTTGCGTCACTTTTGCATTTTATTTTCTATTTGCTGCTTTTAAATTCTTGATTCTCCTAAGTGCACTTCATATCTTTAGATATTACTATTAGGCTCCTATGTTGAACAATAGTAAGTGCCTTATTGAAATTTCAACCAAATAGTTTGGTTTGTTAGGTTGCCAAATTGTCAGTCTGGATCATTGATCAAGTGGAATCTTGTTTGGATGCACGGTCTAATTTCACAGTTTGGCAGCGTGTGTTTGTGAGCACGTGCCTTTGAAAGCTGCTTATTTGTATTTACTCTAGTTACTTCGGGAGCTGCTTATTCTTCACCATATTTTCTTCTCTTATGGGAGAAGAAAATATCAACTTAGACAACATGATTTTTTCATAAACATTATATATATATTAACATGGCAGGAGTTAACATGCGGAAATTTTAATTCTGCTCCTATTCTTACAGATAAACCACCAATTGAAGAACTCCATCAGTTTTTGGAGTTTCAGCTGCCGAGGCAATGGGCACCAGTTTTTAGCGACCTTCCCCTTGGTCCACAGCGGAAGCAACAAAGCAATGTATCTCTACAGTTTAGTTTAATGGGGCCCAAACTTTACGTGAACACCAGTCTGGTAAGGTGTCTCCTTTGCCTTTTATTTAGCAGAAGTAAAATTTTGTTGCATGAGTGTTTTAATTGTAAATGTTCTATGTTTATGACCTTTTTTTTCGTTTTTTATCATGTGGAACTTTGAACCAAATGAGACATTCATCCATTAACATGGGAAAAATTAACATGCTGTATGGACGGCATCTGTTCGAATGGTCATTTACTGCTTTCCTATTCATTCTCTTATGGTGCGCCAATAATTCCATTGCATTAACTAAACCGCTTGATTATTGAGCAGAAAAAAGAGAGGAGGAATTCCATGAGTACTTGTCGTGCTTAAAAATAGTTTCTTTACCGGCAGAAATCTTATTTGTTATATGTTGATATCAGGTTGATGTGGGAAAGAGGCCAGTGACTGGCCTGCGACTGTATCTAGAGGGCAAAAGAAGCAACCGTTTGGCCATTCACTTACAACACCTCTCCTCTCTTCCAAAAATATTCCAACTCGAAGATGATCCAAATGGAAACTTTCGTCGCGATCCCTATGATCGTAAATACTATGAGAAAGTCCAGTGGAAGAACTTCTCCCATGTCTGCACTGCCCCTGTGGAGTCCGATGAGGATCATTCAATAGTAACTGGAGCCCAGTTACAGGTTGAGAATTATGGAATAAAGAATATTCTCTTCTTGAGACTCCGCTTCTCTACTGTTTTCAGCGCAGCAATTGTAAAGCGTCCTGAGTGGGATGGATCACCAGGTTTGGCACATAAGTCCGGACTCATATCAACACTAATCAGCCATCATTTTACAACAGTTCAGAAGCCACCTCCACGGCCAGCAGATGTGAACATAAACTCTGCCGTTTACCCTGGAGGTCCTCCGGTTCCTATCCAAGCCTCAAAGCTTCGGAAATTCGTTGACACAACAGAGATGGTAAGAGGGCCACAGGAGACTCCAGGTTATTGGGTTGTCTCTGGGGCAAGGCTAGTGGTTGAGAAGGGCAGGATATCACTCCGTGTGAAATATTCTTTATTGACTGTAATTTTACCTGACGAAGAAGAGTTGGAGGGACAGTAGCGGATTCCGCTGCTTGTCAAAGAAAATTGGTAAAAAAAAAGTAGAGATGGTATAGATGTTTGGTGCTGGGAGGATGAACGGAGGAGAAGCGAGGATACAGACACGGGCATCCGGTACTGGAGAGTTGCCGTGGCTGTTGTATATTTCATTTCTCACCTCTCATGTCATTTGTTTTTGTAATGTGGATTTTTTTGACCTTGACAAGTTTACAACAGGGCAGGGTTCTGCCATTTGGTAATTGTATGGTGTAAAATTTTGGACTGGGTGAGCTAAGCGTTGGCTTTCGGTAGTGACCAGGCTTGCCGGGCATGGCGGCCGGATTTGGATGAATTTGCCGGAACAGAAAAACGAGGCGGTATCGTCGTCTTCCTTGTAAACAAATAGGGAAGGGAATCCATTTTTCGCATTGCATTCCTTGAAAATAATTTGATTTCACAAATTAAGCTTCAAGACCGATCGATTTTACAAATTGCAGATCATAATTTGTCATAAGTTTATTCCTAAACTGAAGGTTGAAAAATCTGAAGAAAAAAAAAAAAGCACCCAAAAGCATGTAAAGAGTTGGAATGAATCCACTTCGATTCTGTGTTTGGAGCACGTGGATTAAGAGATTCAGACCGTTCAAGAGAGAGAGATCTGAGCCGTTCAAGTTTTTGGGTTTTTGTGAAGTAGACCAGTAAAATCGGTAAATAAGGAGCGTATGATTGAAATTGAGTGGTTTGAAACTTTTAGTCCCCGTGCTCCATACACATATCCAGAGTGGATCTTGGTCCCTCAAGAGGGACCAACTTTCAAATAGAGGACTTATATGACACAGGTACACTACGATGGTGATGTCTTGTGTCAATGCAATAAAGACGTGTCAGTTTTGTCCATTGTCATTATTTCATGAGTAAATTGTAGCAATAAACCCTTAACTTTAATCAAATTGGAGCAACCTCAACTAAAATCCATTACCATTGGCCCCTCAACTCATAAAAATGTGTAGCTATGGTTATTTTTGTCAATTCCGTCAGAATTTTATCAAAATAAGTTATGTTGGAATGACCATTGCTACAATTGGGGTCCCTTAACTAATCAAAACGTGTAGTTATGATTATTTTCGTCAACTTCATCAAAATTTTGTCAAAATGAGTTATGTTGGAAGGACCATTGCTACAATTGGGTTAAAGTTTGAGGGACCATTGCTCTAATTAAGTTAAAGTTGAGGGATCATTTCTCCAGTTGAATTAAAGTTGAGGGACCAATAGTAATAGATTTTTAGTTAATGGACCATTACTCTAATTGAATTAAAGTTAAGAGACCGTTGCTATAATTTACTCTTATTTCATTGACACGAGACATCACATGACAGTGTACTACGTATATAATTTGTCCGCTTTCAGATAAGGAAAACAAAACACAGCATGAAATATTTGATTTTTGACAATTGTAAACCCCAAGTAGTCAATTGTTGATTATTATATGGTGAAGAAACATCATGATTTGGTAAAACTAATATACAAACACCCTCTCTCAGTACCATAATTCAATGCCTCGGTGAAAGTATCATCCTCTACAATCATCCTAAGGAGGAAGTACAAATTTATTATGTTCATGGGAAGGCCAATGCACCCCTTCCCTGGAGCACGTCGGGAGAGGAGCCCGTTGCGCAATGTAGGTCGGACACTGCTCTCCCGGCATCACTACTGAGAAATCCGGCGCACACAATGTCGAAACCTGCAACATCGACGAACAAACTATGATCAGCGAACTCAAACTAGTACATGTAATCGCTTTCTTTCGAGAGCAAATGCATACGAAGTAGAAACAAATTACTTACAGTTTGTCGATTAATTCTTCCATGCTTGTCGAAATGTGCAGACTCTAGAGAAGCACGAGGGAGAGATTGAGGTGTGGAGAAGGGATTAGGACTTGGCCTAAACAAATGTTCAAAGATGGCCATGATAAGAAACATGGAAACCAAGATAGCCGTGGCTACAAAACCATAAGAAATCGCGCTCATGGATGATGTTCCGTAGCTTTGCCATTGCACTTGTCGATCGATCCCTCCTGCTTGAGACGGGCTAGGGTCTGTACTTGTAGTATATCCGTTCCATGGCTTCGGCCTTTCCGAACCAGTCTTGTTCATAGTCTCCGGTCACTAGGTTTTCGCTTTCCTCTCCCCTCTACAAAGCTGATTTCGGGAATTTGGTATGGATACGCTACGAACTAATTAACGAGAGTAATCAAACATATGATTGTTGCTGCTAATTCAGACGCAGCTAATATTTCTTCTTGTGTAAGTTTGTCTTTGCACATACATTTTGAATGCTTGAAACCTCAAGCTGAAAAGGAAGACATGAAAGTAACTTTTAACATTCTGGTGTTGGTTGTAAGGATGTTTCAAAACCAAAACTCTGCTGAAATCAACATGAATAAACGAAAACCCGAAAATGGAAAAGATTTTTTTTTATCGAACCACCCATAAGGCTTGGTGTGACTACAATAGTAGAAGCCTTACTCTCTAAACCCACACAAGGCGGAAAGAAATAACCAAGACCCCAGGATTAACCATCAACTACAAGTAGCTACTTCCTTCCCGCTCAGACGATTAGAAAGGGCTAACTCTCCAATAGAACGGCCCCCTCATCCCCTATCTCTAAATTTTACACAGGAAGAAGGATTTCCTCTATTGAAATTCCAAAATCAATTTGTGCAAGTGTTTGGCAAGAATCAGACTCGGTCCAAAAACGTCCTTGTTTTCTAATTCGAGCGATAGTCTACACTAAATTTATCTGAACTTATGAGTGGGGAATTCGAACTTGAATGCATAGGGGGTAAATTGCTCAAGCCAACTTAGTTACGCTCAAGTCTGCGGCTGGAAACCCAATCCAAAACTATAAGAAAAAACAAAACAGAAAAACAGATTTTTGTGCCTGAAACCAAAAGAAACAGCCTACTCCATTAAAATTGCAGCCGCACCTCCTTGCGCCTCTGTAGCTTCGCCACTGACCAAAAGAGCAAGATTTTCCGGACGCTATCAGGAACATAATTAGCACTGTAATGACATAAAAGCTTGATGTTTAACGACTAACCTGGTCTTAAAAGCAGTAATTCCATTAATTCTGCTCCATAGCTATAGCAGCAACCGTAAATCTTCGTCTCCGATTCGACAGCTTAACTAGCTGCCACAGAAGAACAAGTTACCCACACACACTTGTGATTGCATTATTTAGAAGAAAGCAGCTCTCACCCCACAGAAAATGTAAAGACAAAGTTATATGACAATCCGATTGGCAATGGCATTGGTAGCACAGCAAAGTCTTCTGTTCATGTTTTTTTCATGATCTTTTGATGCCTAGCTTGATGGATACTATACCTTGTCCGAAGAAGCAAGCTTAAAGAAATCAAAAGAGTGGGGCTCCTTGTCTGTCCGTCTTGCCAAAAAAACCAAGACTGCCCTATTTGCATTTGGTGCTTTTTAAAAGTTATCTTTATTTAAGGGATACGCTTCATTTTCGTATTAGCAGATTCGAGCGTAGTCAAATTAGCTACATCACCACTGCATTGAGTTTAATTTCATTTTCTTTTAGTTTAGATTAGACTAGAATATTGCTCGAATAAAAAAAAAAGACAATATTTAGCTCCTTATAGGTAAAAAATCGTTCATCTTTCAATAACAACACAACATCATTCTGCCGTATAAATGTTATAGTAAGAATTATTTATTATCTTTATCATCATTTAAAGATTTTATACTAAAAAAATAAATCATTCCTTTTGAAGTCTGTTTAGCTATCCATATGTGTCTATGAGAAAGTGAGGACAAAGTCCCACAGCGGTCAAGGACCAACCCATGCAATCGCTTATAAGGAGTTGGGCAACTCCTCCATATTTCCAATTGTTTTTATGAAGGAACTCTAACTTTCTTCACGTGTGAAGCCCATCGGCTAAAAGTGCTCAACGTTGGTTTTAAGGTGGAACCCAAACTTACTTAAATGTCGAACAGATCAACGGTTATGATAAACAAGGAACATTCTCATGACCAACCATCAATCTGTTTTATTCGTATAGATGACTAAAGAGTCTCTAAATCAAACGAATTTTCTAGAAATAAATTTAAAACCAAGACGAAGGAAATATTAAATAGTTCTGATTATGACGTTAATGTAAGGAATCAATCATTGTTAAAAAATAAAAATAAACTTCATTTAAGTCACAATTTGTAATTCTAAACCTACTTATTAACCCACATGACTCCATCTGCCTCTGGTGGAAATTAACTACATTTCTCCAATAATTACCCACTAAAATAAAGAAGGACAAAAAACTAGAGACAAAAAAGAAAAAGCTGCTAAAGATTATAAAAACTAATTAAAGGCTGCTGCCAGTGCAAAATGTGTATTATATTTGTTTTAAAGCCCAAATAAATGGAAGAGAATACTCTCCTGAGCTCATGATGGGGATCCTCCTGATCAGTTTATCTTGACCGTTCAAATTTAATACAACGGTTGCAATTATTATAACTTTTAAAGGGTTTCTTATTTGAAGTTTTTGAATTAAATTTGAACGGTCTAGATAGGCTGGTCAGGAGAGTCCCCATCCTGAGCTCAGGAGAGGATCCTCTTCCCAAATAAATAACAGCCAGAGGTTATGAAAATACCAAAAAAATAAAAATTTACATAAGGTGGGAAATCTAGAGAGAGAGAGAGAGAGAGAGAGAGAGAGAGTCGATCATAACTGTGTTGTACCAGCAGACGAGGGATGTGGATTGTCTGCCCTCCCATTTCTATACTATTTTCATCCCTTTTTGTTTGTGTGATCACGATTAAACCACGTCAATATTTTATATTGATTTTTTTATAAAAATAATAAAATAAAAAGTAATAAGAATATAAAAGTTAACATGGTTTAACTGTGACCACACAAAACAAGAGAGGATAAAAAGAGTATGGAAATGGAAGGGCAAACAACCCACCTCCGCATATGAGGAATGAATGATTCAAGAGATGAAAGGAAAGGGGCCACATCTTATTGAATAGGATAATGTGTTTTTACATATGCATCCGAAATTCGAAACTCTTTATTTTTTTAAATTGTTGAAATAGTTTTGAACCTCTTTCTTCTTTTAATAATAATAAATTTTAAAAAATGAAGAAAAAAAGGAAATCGGACAATAGGGGTAGCATAGCATTGCAAGTAACATGCATAAAGAAACAGAGCTAAAAAAAGGAGGAGGTGACATATAGATATATAGACCACATTAATTTGTTCCTCATAAAGATTTTTTTCTTTTATAAATATAACTTTTTGAGGTTTTTGTAAGAACACTGGAGCCAATACCTGAATTCTTTACAAAGAAAAACCCGCCAAAACTCAAAACAAAGTTTTTGAAGTAAGGACTGAGATCTTCGGATCTCGCATTTAGGAATTTACAAATTGGGCAAGAAGCGTTCAAGAGAGAGATTTATAAGCGTTGAAGAGAGAGAGAATGTGTATGATGAGCTAATGAAATGAGTTAATAAAAACTGCATTATTTAAGTTAAACAGTTCAGATTGCTCAGTCTGCAAACTCCGGAGTGTGAAATTCGAATCTCAATCATTAAAACTCAAAATGATAGTAAATGATTATATTGGCTCACTCATGTAATTAGTCGTGAGCCAATGTCGAGCCTAGTATTGTGGTCTTATAAGTAAAAAAAAAAAAAGTAATTTTCGCATGCAATTTTCTCATTTTTACACACTTCCTTTATGAGCAAGCCAAGCCAATTGAACAAAAAAAAAAGGGGGAAATTTAGACAAAGAATCACGCAAGAATTATATTAAAATAAAATGGTGAGAAAAATAGGAAGAGTGGGGTTGCCTTGGCATTGAGTGCAACCCTTTTGTCAACAAGGCCATCACCATGTCTGAGACTGATGTGAAAGCCTATCTGGACTAATTGGAAAAGTGTCCTCGCCGGATCATTTTTTAGAGTTCTCGGAAATTTCGTGATCATGATCGTTCATCGTATATCGTGAGATCAGTTTTAATTAGGTACTATTTATATTCAATTTTAAATTTTAAATTTCAAATAATTTATGACCGCACAATGTACGATGAACGATCACATGATTCCCAAAAAAATGATCCGGCGAGGATCTTTTTCTGGACTAATATACTCTCTCATTTTCTTAACATCTTTACACTTTTTAATTTTAAAACAAGCATATGTTACAACACACCAACATAAATTATGCCAATAACTTAACTATGGTTGTCAAACAAAGAATTAATTTGACATCCTATCTTTCTTGCCACTTTAAACACAGAGCATTCTTACTTGACCTTTCGGCCACAAATATTTTTGCTTTATTTGAGGCATGCCTTCACTTGAGAAACGAAGAATTTGGACCGTAACTTGACATCCTATATCGCTTGATCTTTCGGCCACAAATATTTTCGCTTTATATGAGGCATGCCTTCACTTGAGAACAGCACGTAGTAAACCATATGTGTAACTAATTCTACATCCGTCATTAAGTGCGCAAACAAGATACGATAAGATCAATACTCAGTTCAGGTTAGCGACCTCTTAACAACATCAATATTATCTTCTAGTTTACATCATACTAGTTGCACAACACTGATCACATAAGCAGTCCTTGATAATATTAAAAGTGTAACTATTTATTTTATTTATTTTTTTAGTTTCTAATGTGAGATTCTTGTATTCATTAACATCCTTAACCTCTTAAACAAAAAGAATCGCATATCCAAATTAATAGTAAGATAAAGTAAGATAAAATTATGAATCAAATAAATAAGCCAATGTGCCATGTCAAATCAGAAAAACAAAAAAGAAATGATTCCCCTTTCCTTTTAATCTTCAATATGAATAAAAATATACTTTTATGGGAAAAATATCTGATAAGAAATACAAAGCTGCCCATTTCATTATTTCCATGGGGCTTTTCACATAAAAGTCAGTAATATATATTAAAAACACAAAGTACAAATATAAGTGCTTTTAAAATAATTAAAATAATTTTTGATGAAATTGATTATGAATTTCAAAATCACTTCAAGTGTTTTTTTTAGGATCCACTTGAATTTGTATTAAAAATGGTTTAAAAAATATTTTCATAAAAAACGCTTTCACTCATTTTAAAAACACTTCTAAATGAGTTTTACATTAGAAATCAAGAAAAAAAACACCAGCTTTCTTTATAATTGGTAAGTAAATTAAAAAAAAATCACAATTAATAATCAATTATACAAAAATCGCCTCACAAAAAGACAATTACATTTCATTGTCCATGTAAGACATTTTCAACAAAGGTTATCCATATCTATTGGAGATTTGGCAAGCAACTTTTTTGATCAACTTTACTAATGTCTTTGTTCTCATACTATATTAAAGAGGAAAGGCAAGAACATAGAACATGCATGGGAAAAGAGTACTTGAACTTAATCATTTTACTTTTTCTCATTATTAGGGACCGTCTGATTACCATTTTTATAAAGTATTACATCACATCAAATATATGCTCAGTGTGGGACACCATACAATATGCATTCAATGGTAATAATACACACCATCCTTAGTAATGCTTACCACACTACGTATTATCATTGAATAAGTTTAGAGTTAAAAATTTGTATCTAACCACTACAGATCTCGAAACTTAAACTCATCCAACTGTCTTAAATTCGATAACGAACATCACCATCACTTTAAGATACTTTAAGATGATGGACAAGGATTGTCTGACCACACAAAACAGAAGAGCACCGGAAGTGGAACGGCAGACCATCCTTGTCCTAAGATGATAAGCATAGCACAGGTATACCCCACAAGACATCCCGTCCCAATAGAGTATAAGGACATTTTTTTTTCCACGTATCCTTGCATTATATGCACCGGATGCTGTTACAACATTATGCCCCTGCCAAACAAATTACTCTCCATATAGAATCAACTCCAACAAAAATAGAATGAAACATGTCTGTTGAGCGAAAGCAACAACAGCAGCAAATTTGTTTCTCATAGTTTAGAATCCCAAACATATATTCTGTCGCAAAACTGGAAGCAATCAAAACTTCGAATCCAAACCAGAAGCAAAAGATGTCTTAACTTATAAAGGCTCCATGAAAATTGGAATCGATCAATATTGTCAGATTAAGCCTTGAGCCGGCCGTAGTACCTAGCCTTCTCTTGGGTAGTCTGGAAGCGGCCATGGCCAAATTTTGACGATGTATCGATGAACTTGAGCTTAATGTCCTCCAACGCAACCCTAGATGTCTGCTTCAGAAGCGTCTGCCTCAGGGTAACAACGCGCTTTTTAGGACCCACGCAGCAGCCTTTCATTAGAAGGTAATCCTGTTTCACTTCACCATAGTGCGGGAAACCTCCCATTGGGGTAATATCCTTCTCAGTCCTGAACATAAAAACGTAAAAATATCATTAATAGAAGTTCGAAGTTGAACTCACACTAGCCTTACCGCGAAAAACCAAATACATCGTGCCAATTCCCAACACGTATGAGTAAACCAATACAAATTCAATCACAGTGGAATCAAACAAAGAAAAAATTACAAAGGAAGAGTCACAAACCTGTCGAACTCAGTCATTGCAGTGTGCGACTCTTGGTCAGCCTTCCCAAGCTTGTAAATCTTCTTGTTCATCTCAGTACGATGGTGGTAACCATTCTGCCCAGCCCTGGCAACAGTAAATGACACCCTAGCTGGATGCCAGGCACCAATACAGGCTACTTTACGTAGACCACGATGGGTCTTACGTGGAAGACGGGTGACACCCCATCGAGTCACCACACCCTCATAACCCTTCCCCTTGGTAACCCCAATAATGTCAATCATCTCATCTTTCTGGAAAACAGCATCAACAGGAACCTGCTTCTCAAACAAGCTATAAGCGTAGTCAACCTTCTTTGCAACTTCCCCACCATTAACTTGAATCTCCATCAGATGGGCTTTCTTCTGCTTCAACCCCTTCATTTTCCTAATCTGCAAAAGATAAGCCAAAAAAGATTATTCTAGGTAAAAGTAAATATTTTCAGCAATGGAACATCAGAATGGCAGCAAACTGGGTAACTGTTTTACTGGGCACGTTCAGTAATCACATATTTTATTTTGTTCATCAAACAAATCAATATAATTTACCTGAGTGTGGGCTAAAACACGAATAACAGAGCAGTATTTCTTCATTTTCTCCAACTGAGCCTGGATGTCCTTTTTCCCATCTTCGCTCTCATACCTTTTTGAGTACTTGGTGAATGCTTTCTTTTTTGACTTGCACCAGTTCTTGTAGAATCTCCTCTTCACCTCCTCACTCAAATGCTGGGCCCAAACTGTGTCCAATGAACGGAGACCACGGGGTGTCTTCACATAACCAACAACACCAACCACCACCATTGGTGGTGTTTCAATAACTGTAACTGCTTCACATGTTTCTTTCTTGTGTAACTCTGCAGGGAAATATTGGTTTCAGGACACAATATGGAGTACAGATGATATATCATTGGACCAAGCACAAAGAACAAGCCACAAAGCAAAAGCAATACTACTATGCTTCAGTAACCCAAAGAACTAGTTAAAAGTTCCAGATCTCTTTTAAGCCTAGTGAATAACTCAATAACATGATACTACAATTCAATATACAATGGAACTAAGGTAAAATAATAGAAAATAGATCGCTTGTATTTTACTTCCGATTTCAAAAACTTCAGAACACTGATCAATAAAAACAGCTAAAACCTTAATTCAAGAAAACATATAGAAATTCACAAAAAGCATTATTCTGGTACATGCGAAACATCATAGTATTCTTTAGAATTTACAATGCAAATGCAGAAAAATTACTTGTGAAAATGTTAGCAATATATTTCTACTAATTTTTATCTTATATTTCTATTAATACTTTTATCACAAAGTTTTCCTCAAAGTAACAGTTTTTAAGTTCTCATTCAACTAAAGAACAAGCGTAAAACAATAGACCAACTCACTTGATCCGGGTTTTTCAACATCTCTCACAATATGGGTCATTCCAGCTTTGTATCCCAGGAAAGCAGTCAATCTGGGAGTTTTCGTTGGATCGTCTTTGGGGAAGGCCTTCACTGCATACACAAAACCAAGTAAGCCAAATTTTCCAAGGAGAGAACAACCAAAAAGTTTAACAGTTCCGTAACGAACAGTAACAGAAATAAGATGCAATCACAAACAACAATAGTCTTCAGGTATAAATACGAAATGGAAAGTGGATAAAATATATTATATATAGCATTCCAATGTGTGGATATACACCGAGAAACTAATAACTTGTATGAGAAATATTAGATATGATATAAAGCGAGATGCAACAAGCACATTGATACCAACTATGCATTATCATCCCTATATAACTGAACCAATGATACAAGTCCTCAAGTTAGGTGTAACTTATAAAGCTGCTTAACCATATACCAAAAGCACGGAAAAAAACCTATGCACAATATGAAAGTTATAACTTCAACAAAAAAATATGAAAAAGATCCAGTGCATTTCACTCAAGAAAACCCAGAGCCAGTTCAAACAAACATGAGTCATCATTTCATTGCAACTTTTCAAGGAAACACAACTATTGAATATCACGTTGAAACTGAAAAGAAGAATAAACCTTTTCCTCTGTGGCGGGCTGCTCTTTTCCTTGGAAGAAATCCCAAAGAGCCATGTCTTGGGTGTTCAAACTTACGATGAGACATGCTTCCTTCTCAAACTAGGTCTACAAAACTCCAAAACCTCAGATTTTCTTACAATTACACAAATAAATTCAGCCATGTATCTCACACAATAATAACATCTTGACGTAAAAAGAATTAAACAAATTACTTTGACACAATGATAAAGAAAATCACATAATCATAGTATCCACATAAAATTAACCTACAAAAATAATTTCATGTATGAAATTTTAAGTAACATGTGCAGCATCAAACGCAAAAAATCTAATCATTGTAGTACTATTAGAAACTCCAAAAACTGATGACAAAGGATCTTAGAAGTTGGAACTGTAAAAGAATTATAAATCCTTTAAGATAAAACCACTTGAAACAAATCCAAATCCCCAAAATGTGTGAAAATTCCAAAATTTCCTGACAAGAAACCATTGCACTGTCATTATATCAAACTCCAAAAATTGGTTACAAAGACCTTAAAAATGTAATACTTTAAATTCTTTACAAGATAAAACCTTTAAATAAATTTGCAATCTACTCAAAACATACAAAAACAATCGAAAAATCCAAGGACAAGCCCTTGAGCCAAAAAACAAGGTAGAATACAACCACCTTCTCCAATAGGTGACACGAAATGCTCCCAAAAACCAAAGGCCTATGGCACCAAAATATAGTGCCAATTCTCGGGCTCCTCGGTATTTCTTTCCAAAACCCCAATCAGGGTTTTGGCAAAAATAGAGCCCTTTTGAGACTCCAGCCTTGATTACTCACAATGTTCTTATGGGAAGCAATTCGGTATCGCCAACAGAGAAAGTTTGTAGTATCTAACATGTCCACAGTGATCGGGGCAACAAGTACAAATACAAATCACAGCAAATACATACGAAAACTCCTTGAAACCCCCCAAAAATTTAACAGTTTTCTACTAAAAAATGGAAAAATCATAAAGTGATTTCATATAATTTATTCATAATTTAGCTTGCGATTCAAATTTCCATGAATTAGGGCATTGATAAAATTATAAATTAAAAAAATTCCATGAATTACACAAAAGTGAATAGGTTTAACCTAAAAATTTCAGAGAAATTGAACGATGTTACCTGCGAAGCGCGACGAAGAGAGGGAAAAATGTAAGAAGCAAGCAGCGCAACCAGCAATAGATTGGTTTCGGCGAGACTGACTGAGCAAACCCTAGCAGGATTTAGGGTTGCGGATCTTACAGTGTTTTTAAAGCGGAACCTACGGCTACGATTAACTTGTCTAAATTATTACATGGATTGTTGTCCGTTAGATTTAGGGCACAATTGAGTTGGGGTTAAGTTGGGCTTTTGTACGAGGCCTGTAACTATCGGATTCGGTCCAACATGCATATTTCTTCATACATATATTTTGTAAATTTTATAATAAATAATACTTTGATTCTCACTAGTGAGTAACTCGCCTTTTAGTTTTGCTTAACGATATTCAACACATATTTTATAGTGTAAGAAAATAATGGACATATTATTTAATTTTTCTTCGATTTTAAAAAATAAAAAACACATGTTATTTTTTAATTCGGCCAAATCAGAAAGTAAAGATACAAAGTACTCAGTAATAAATACCTTAAGTATTATCTTTAAATACTTACTCCTCTTTAGGGCCTTAAGTAATACTTGGGTACTCATTGATAAGTACCCAAAGTACTGACTTGTGTATGTGACCCAATGGTTTTGAGACATCTATTAATTTCAACACTCTACTATCTTTGTATCCAAACGCAAACCAACCCATTAAACCCGATACCAAACATAAGTCTTCTTCTTCAAGTCTACAAATCTCCCATGGCATGGCTAGCATGGATTCTTCTTCAGACACCTACCATTTTCTAACTGCTCTCTTCCATTGACTGGTAGTAACTAGTGATGATTGTGAGGAGCGAAGAGCATTGCGAAGTTATTTAGCATGAGAATTTGTGATGAAGGAACTTGGTTTATTGAAGTATTGGGTATTGAAATGGCTCGTTCGAATGATGGTATCTTTATATCACAGAGCAATTATGCTCTTGATTTATTACATGAGATTGGAATGTTAGTGTATCAACCGATTGATATGTCATTGGAAGAAGATTTAAAATTGTGGTCTAATTTGGATCAATCATCGTGTGATAAGAAGAGATATCAACAGTTGGTAGGAAGATTGATATATTTGGCTCGTACGCGGCTAGGCTTGGCTTATGCTTTAAGTATGGTAAGCCAATTTATGCATAATTTTACGAAGCAACATGGATGCATTGATGACAATTTTATGATAAGTCAAGTCAACTCCAGGAGTGTTGTCCTCAAAGAAAGGTTGTTTGGAGCTTGAACCATACATGTGCCAATTGAGCAAGTTCGATTGATTACAATTGATCAACATCAGGTTACTTCACATTTGTGGGAGATAATCTTGTTACTTGGTGGACAAAGAGACATAATATTGTTGCTCACTCGAGTGCCGAAGCATAATATAGAGGAGTTGCTTTGGGAACTATTGAAATGCTTTGGGTACGAAATATCTTCAGGGGCTTGGGATATGGTCCGAAAAAGATCAAGAAATTGTATTGTGACAGTAAAGTTGAATATGAGATTGCAGTTAATCCAATTATCATGATCGAACAGAGCATGTGGAAGTAGATCGGTTCTTTATCAAGGAGACGATAAACCGAAAAATTAGTGAGATAGCAAGAGTCAAGTCGAAAGATCAGCTTGCAAATGTCTTAACAACAACAGTATCAAATAGAATATTTGCAAACTTGGGGCAAGTTGGGCATGTTCGATATTTATGCACCAATTTGAAGGTGAGCGTTAGAAACTGAAATGTAATTACTATAATTGATTATACTGAGAATTTCTTTCCTTAATATTTCTCCTTCATTAATTGTGATTAAGGTTGTGTGTGTGTGTGTGTGTATGTATATATTTCTTCCGAGTGAGAAGAATGATATTCAACCATTCACGAATTCTATATGTATAATCTGAGTTGTACATATGTAATGTAGAATTCAATATTTTTGAAATGGCAGCGGTACAATGTCTGTGTGAGACTTTCTTATATAATTAAGAATCTGTGAGATGAACCTGGGTCGACCAGCCCATGAAGAAAAAGCTTATATTAGGTTTGGAGAATTTAGGAGGCGGGTTTAGTCCATGCGAACCTGGGTCGACCAGCCCATGAAGCATTTAGAACTGGGAAAAAAATATGAGTATAATGTTATTTTAGACAATGGTAGAGTACAATGTAAATATATATACTTTAGACTATAGTATAATGATATTTTTCTTCATTTGTAAGTAAATAACTTAGGTTTAAATTTATAAAATATGACTTCGATACCAATTTATTCATCACCCCTTAATATAGTTGTATTAAAACATTTAAGCATGTTCTAAATCATGAGCATATTTGTCATTGTGGTTCCAATATTTTCAATTTTCGCCAAATTGCTCTTTTGCATGAAAGCAAAATGACGAACATAACCTTTTTCTCCTTTAATCCTCTTTTGAAGATCACTCATACAAAAGATCATTCGATTAGGAGATCATAGTCGTTCATCTAAATGTATTAAATAAATAGACGGTTCATCATGAATATATCATTTGGTACCTATATCATCAATTAATTCTATGCATTTGTGACTAAAATGATCAAATCAAGGCAAACTCTGAATACTAGATATGACCTCAAAATAATAGAGGTCAAGGTCGGCCAGTGATTACCTAGACATCAATTTATTCTATGTATTTGAATGATTAAATTATCTTTGATTAAAATATTTTTTTTAAATGATCTTTAAATGGTAATAAGGAAAATGAACAGTTCCTGTACAATCAAAATACGTTAATCGTAAAAATAAAAAAAATAAAAAAAGCTCGTACTCTAAAGAAAGAATGCACGTAAACCAGATGACATTGACTAAATTAGGGTATCTATACTTTGTAGTAAACTTTAGGTACGATGCCCCTTGAGATGCATTAAGGACGTAATACTAAAGGTAAGTGTTGAAGATATGCTTTCAACGTAGAGCTGTGTAGGGATCGATAGATAACATATTGATAAATATACGACGTTGCATTAGAGAGCATGAGTGGCAATCATAGATTTTAGACTACAAAGATGACAAGCCCATTTCAACGTGACTTGGAATTCCACCATGGTCAATTTGCTAGCAGGGTCAACACAATCCCTGTATCTCCAATGCTATGATGTCATATAATTATAAAATCACACGATCCACAGCGCGGACCATGGATGACGTGTTCCTATTATAACAATTATATTTCTTGAAAGATTAGGGTTTTTGCTGAGTCATAGATCAGACATTCGGAGTCTGAGATTTTTTTTTTTTTTTTTTTTTTCTGATTTTTGTGTTCGGAGTTTAAAGATTTAAAATTTTGAATTGTTAAAGAGATTAAAAAAGATGTGAAATTTTAATTTATTTAAAATGAGCTAATAAAAATCACAAGACTTAAAATGAATCTTACGAAACTTCTAATTCATTGGCTCATATGCAAAAGATCCGGAAAGGATCTCAGTTTAGATATTCATACGTCATACTTGCACCATGCATCTGTTCTTATTCTTTTAGGTCAAATCTTAATTATATCACGAGACTCTTTTTCGTACCCTTAATTAGGTCAAATCTTAATTATTCACTGTACTCTTTTTCGTACCCTTAATTGGGTCAAATCTTAATTATGTCACTATACTCTTTTTCGTACCCTTAATTAGGTCAAATCTTAATTACGTCACTAGATTCTCTTTTGGTACCCTTAATTATTCCTGATAAGAGATATTCTACACATATGATTAACAATTGATATGACACGAATAGCACTTGTCGGAGCCACTAAAATGATAAAAATATCAATTAAAAAAATAAAAGAAAACTAATGAAAATGATTTGAAAACTTTAAGTTTTAATAATAAGGACAAAATAAAGGATAAAGTGAATAGTACCAGGTTTGATTTTTTAGTATAAAAATATAATTTTTCGTTAAAATGAACAGTACCATGAGTTTTTCGTTAAAACTTCCAAAAAATAATTAAATAGCCATCAAAAGAGGAAGCTTCATGGCTCGTACGATATATACTATGGCAATTGGAATTATGCTGCTAATCCGTAAGTGGTCAACGTCACTGATACACTATATTGTGTTGGACAATTAGGTATAAAATCATTTCGGAAATTCATGAAATAAATCATGTAATAATGTATAGAAATAGTTGCTTAATCATACATAGATAAGGGTTAGAAAAACTTGACAATTTTAGTGGGGCAAGCATTTTACACTCTGATATTTATACACTGCCCTTAAAACGATATTACGCCCCACATGGGTTTTCATGATTTATCGGTTCTCGTTTCCTAAGATTCAATGACATTCCATTGTGAACCAAGAATATGTAGAAACCTAGATAAGAAGAAAATTTAAAATTTAATATAAAAAGTAGTAACAAATATAATGTAGAAAAATACCGTTAAATCGTAATATTAAGTGGCTAGTTACTATTATACAAGTAAATTATGTTTGAAATTTAGACATTTGATACGTCACAAGCCTTTAAGTCATGACATAATCTTAAATTAGTCTTGCCAAAAGACTTAGCTATGGTACGTTTTTTTTTTTTTCCTTAAAAAGGGGACCAACTGGTTGCTTTGCAACGGCAGCCCACCCTTTCGGAAGGCAGGAACTCACAAAGGCATTTCAACTTCCCTAGCCACCATCGTGCAATTCGCGAACGTCAGAAATTGAGCCCATAATGTGTCGTGTGGAATACAAGCCTGAAATTCATTTGAAATCACTGGTTCACCTTGTGGTAATTGTAGCTATGGGAATTCAGAGCCTCATATGTGCCGTCATTACAACTCTCATGCTTTGCCACCCTCTAGTCTCCATCACACCTCCTCATCCTCCATTGGTGTTGCACCTTGAAAGGAAGAAGCGATATCGATACTCTAGGGGAGGACGCCGCTGATAACTGGATTTCCCACTGTTACCCAGGTATATATACGTAATCTATATCTCCATCAAATGGAACAGGGACTCGAATGGAGTGTGTGTTGCTGCTGTGAGTAGGAGATGCGAAGATTTGTTCACTCCTATTCAAATTGAGGCTTTAGCAGCTAGAGAAGGGTTTGTGTTGGCGGTTCATAGGGGTTTTCATGGTATTTCTCTGGAGAGTGATTCGCTTCAGATCGTCTTAGCTTTACATGGGTCTTCTATGGATG